TTCGCAGCCTGTAAGTTGTCATATTATTAAAACAATTTGTATTTTTTAACAATTAGTTTGAAAATGGCAGCCTGAATCAATGCTTGTTTGTCTTTTTTGCATGAGGATGTTATGATGTTGCAGTGATAAAATTTTTTCGCTGTAATAATTATGCTATGGCGGTGTTTTTGTTTTTTCTCATTTTAGGTACTGCACTACGCTACTTTGTGTTTCTGTTGAGAAATGGTTGGCAATCGTAATTCTGTTAGCTAATTTTTTCACTTATTATCCAATTGCATCGAAGACGACATCCATTGGCGCACAGGCATTCCACCCTGGATCGAATAAATATCTGCTCAGTCTTCAGTTCCTTTTGATGTCGTGATAGTTTTCATTTATCTCCAATGTATTGGGGGACTTCTTGGCGGCTGAATGCCAGCAGCCTTTGCATCGCCACCATCATCCATTCGCTGCTAATTGCCCCACATTCTTAAACGTTTTGTTCATAGCCAGTTCACCACTCGTAGAATTTTTTAATCTCTGTCTTACAACAGCGTTTGACATCAGGTCATGTCACTTTACTCCTAATGTTGATCTTAATTAAAATCTTCATTTCCGTCGCTTCCAGTTTTATGTCTTCTTTTAGCTTTGTTAAAGGTCTGCTTTCTTCGGCGATGAATAAGATGTTCATAATGCAGGCCCTGTGTTACTGCAGTCTGATGCTATTGCACATCGCCTTTTAACTTAATTTGTTACTTTTACGCTCGCAATGTACTCACAAGATACAGACGTTTTGGTACCTTTTCCACAACTTTTGTGCCGAGGGTCAGGCAGGCCAGTATCTGTCTACCAGTAATTTAACTAATAAGCTTTAAAATTTATATCGCTACATTTTAGGCAGCGCCACTACGAAGCTGTAGCTGGAGAGAAGCCTGATAGTTTTATGAAAGTAATGCGGAATCAACAGATGTTTCAAAGATGTCTGTTATAAAAAAATGTTTTTTTTAACAGACGTCGCATTTGCTGTCTTTGGTTGTCTCTCCCGCTAGGAGATATTAATAAAAATCGCATTGTTTCTCTGTGGTACTTCGGTATTTTGCTTTACTTGTGTAATTCATTGAATCTTAAAATCACTCGCTCTGTCCATAATAGAATACATAGTCTTTATAAAGTAAAAATAATAAGATGATGTAAGATAAAGTCTTGAATAGTTTTTTTTCTGAAATTAACTGTTTAGGCTACCCCCTCACTCACAAAAGCAGCGACTAATAACCCTTCAGATTCGGTGGCATCTCTAAATTTGTTCGATCAGCTGGATTTAGGAAAAAATGATTTTTTACCACCGGCTGCTGTTTCGGCGCAGAACCTCCTAAGTGAGTCCTTTTCACAAACGCAGAATACCGTTCTCAGCCCAGTTCCTATTGTTCCACTTTCGACGTCGAACACGTTTACGCCTTCGACTTTTACGGTCACGACAAACGATAGCGCATCTAATGTTGTAAGTCTTGCAGAATCCGTGTGAGCTTAATTTTCATGTACTAATGAGCAATTTAGAAATGCGGTCCGACATGGTCTGAAATTCAAAAGGTGGGCATCGATTTTGAAAACTTTTCGCTGGCTTCTGACAGACGCAGAAGTCAGCCACCGAGCATGAAACAGCTTCAGCAGCAGACTTTTGGTGCCAACGCGCCGGTTTGTTCGCCGTCTATGTCCTGGTCGCGTAAGTACTATTAAGCAAAAGCTTCTTTTTTGAACTTCTCATTGCTTGTTCTCTGTACAGAAGCGAACGGCTCTCGACCTCTGCCATCTCAGAA